ATGTGTGTTGTGTAAAATGAATGAACCTGCTCCCTTTTATAGGAGAAATTTGGAGAATCCCAGTGGAATAAGAAGTCCTCTCCATATCAAACTCTTAATTGAGTAAAAGGTCTTCTGAGTCTCGAGAGCCCTTGTTGCGACTAACTCCTTCGCAACTTGATCCCGAAGCCATCTTCGGGTTCTAGCCCCCTCGACGGCCTATGAGGGCCGCCGAACACACGAGGCCACCGGGCACCTCCCAAGACCGAGCACCCGCTGGAGGCCTCGCGCCGAGCACTCACCCACGCTGAGCACTCGCCATGCCGGATGATGCCGCGCCAGTCACTTCATCCCGGCCACCTCCAATGCCGAGCACTTAAGGGGCGCCGAACACCATGCGACGCTGAGCACTCCCAACCGCCCGACTACCATGATGTTTATCCGGTCCCCTTCACATGATAATGATGACCGAATTCCCAACCGGTTCTTCCCGAGCCACTATTAACGACCACATCATATATACATTATATTTTCAGTATATATTTTCGCCGGCTTAAGAATAAAAGTTTCCTCCAAATTTCTTTATATGTATGTGTGTGTTAATATTTTTGCCGTTTTTTGCGAATCGGAAACAGCATTGTCTGCGAAATTTTTTCAAATGGCGGGGAGGTGCGATTTTTTTTTTTCTTTTTTTTTTTGGCACATGACCTTGAATTAAGGCTAGTAACAGCAGGTTCTCATAGGCTGGTGAATTATGTGTTAGGCGATTAGTATTTTGTTCTTTCTTCTAATAATGAAATGCTACGGTCTCGTTACGAAATCATTCCGTCGGTGTTTGTAAACCGTAGATCATCATTTAACCGTCGAGCATAGTTGATCTAACAGTTACAAACCCCCCACGGAATGATTCTGTAACGGGACCGTAGCATCTCCCCTTCTAATATTATCAGTTGCAAGGGAACCAAAATCTTTAGAGTTTACTATTCCAAAAAATGCAAAAGGAGAACCCAATTTTACGCCTTAAGCTCCCGACGCCGGTCTCTTACCTCGGAGCCCCTACTTTCAAATGGCATCAACTTCATCACTACAACTTTCTTAGAGGGCAATGAGATTAATCAATCAGTTAATTTCCAATGAATAAAATTGTAGTAAACCAGAAACAGGAAAAAA